ACTCCACAAACTTCGAGCGAAAGCATTTTTCCAATTTCTTCAGGAAAACAGGGAAGACCTAGTTACTGCCAAAAAAATTTGGTCCTCCTCAAAGTTCCTGGATCAAAGTGTATATTATTCAAGGCAGCTTTATTTTTATAACTTTAGTATTGTTGAAGGTTCCTCAAAGTCTCCACTTTCAAAAGAAAATATATTTTCATACTGTTGGACTGAAGACATGTGAAACAAAGCTGTGTTTACGATTGGAAGTCTGCTGTTCAAGAGGTTCATAAACCAGTAGGAGCATGGGGTTTTTCATGGGTTAGGAGCTTCAAGGTATTTGTCTTCAGAGTTAAACGTACAGTGTATGTATAATTTATACAAAGAGATCTGCGTTGAAGATAATAGGACCCCAGTCAAGTTATCTTATTACAGATATGTGTTCAATAATCATTTCAATTTACGATTTCATAGACCACATTCTGATACCTGTTAAAGATATGGTAAGTACCAAAATCTTATTAAACACTCAACAGATCAAAGGAATGTCTCTGAAACTAAGGTTCAACTATCTGTCCACCACTGTAAAGCTGAGCTAGCCTGGAAAACAAAAAAAAAATAGACATAGATAGCTACATATCTTCAGCAGATACCTTAGTTGTATGTTTTGATCCGAAACAAACTTTACCCACTCCGCTGATCATAACATCTAAGGTGTTTTATTTGAGGCAGTTGTAGACATATAACTTTTGTGTTTACGATTTGTTGCACAACAAGGCTCATATGTTTACGTGGTCTGAAAATATTGCTTCGAGAGGGCTACAGGCAATAGGATCGTGACTTCTGCAGTTCATCAAGTCTCTATCACCAACCGTAACAAAACTTGTTGCCTACAGTGATTCCTGTGGAGGACAAAATAAAAATAAATACATAAGCAAGTTGTTCATGTTTCTTCTACAAGCTACTCACTTAAAGGAAATCCACCATAAATTTTTAGAACTTGGACACACGTATATGGAACATGATTGTGCATTTGCTCTTATTGAATAAGCCAAAAGAAAAAATCCACAAGTATTTATCCCACAACATTGGACTTCCGTTATAAGATCATCTAAAAAGAGTTTTGTTGTGCATGAAAAACACGTTACATTCCAAAAATTAAATACTCTAATAAACGATCCAAAACTAGATGTGAAAAAGCCTCTACATTTTAGAGAGATAAACCACTTTAAATATTCTAAAGCTGTTGAAATATTTTAATTTCACTTTTAACATACTCTTCAAGAGGACTTTCCGTTTTCTAAATGGGTATCCGTTTTACCAAGAGGTCATCATTCCCTTAAATTAGAGAATATATTGTCCACAAATACCGACGAGATAATGATTACCACAGCAAAGTGGAAGGATCTCCAAACATGACTAGACTATATACCACCTGTCTATCATCAGTTTTACAAGGATCTGCCTCATAAGGAACAAAAAAAGAATGAGACGAAAGCACGACAGTCTACAACTCGAAAGTCTGATACTGTGACAGCTTCAACTTCCAGGGTAGCGCATGAATCAGATTCAGACAATGACATGGATGGTAGTGCCATAATTGACTCTGATTATGAGAATGCAGTGGCGGCTTTTCTTTATGTGCTGCTGAGCTGCAGAACTACCAAACAACCATAGCAAATCTTAATTATTAAAGAATAATTAATATAGTTTTATTTCAAATCTGCCATATTATCATATTAAACATAAACTGTTAATAATAATTCACCAACAACGATGATTAATATTATTTTTTTTACGTATTTACTCCTCTAGTGAAACCGTATAATTTTTTTACGTATTTGGTGCTCCAGTGAAGCAATCTTTTTACGTATTTGCTGCTCCAGTGAAGCCGCGTCGATAACAACCGAAACACTGGCAGCGGTTAAATGCATTTATTAGGCAAACGGCGATCTTAGCCGATGTGCTTCGGCAATCGGCTGATTAACGGCCTCGGAAATGTGTTTGCGAGCTGCAATTCACGACAGTTATTCGTGACCGTTGCATCTGTGCCAGAGAACTACGAACGCAGAGAAGCGACACTCCTTTCATCTTGCGTGGGCAAGCCGCCAACGAGTGAAAATGACAGGAAAGCACCTTATTTTTTAATAGTCAGTGGGCATATTACACAATATAAATTCTTAAATAAAATTTAGCATTTATGTTGACTTTCAATAAATATGAAATATTGCACATGAAATATATTTGTATTTATAAATAATACTTCATTACTTACAACTATAAGAGTATTAGTATATTCGAAGTGTATTGTAAATAATGAAGTATTTAACTTTTGTCAATATCTCATCTTAATAAATTTACAGTTTTCTCCTGATTAAGTCACAAAATTGTCACTAAATATTGAGATATACAATAAATAAAGTTTTAATATTTTTTATTTGTAATTCCCATTTAAATATTTATTCCCTAAATATGTTGTGTACTCCGATCCATATATTTGATCTTTGTTATTTATATGTAACGAATTAAACATTGACAGACAACTTTTGTATATAGCAAAAAGTAGATGAGCATTTAGTTTTTTCATAATTTAATGTAAGTTTGTTTGGTGAAAAAGACAGCAAATATTTGAAGTTATGTTAATGTAAGTTTGTTTATTTGCAATCATGTTTTTATTTTGAAGTCTTGTTCTGTTATAATTTTAAGATTTTCCCAATTTTCGATCTAATTATGTCTCCAACAATTTTTAGTTTGAGCATTTTAGGAATTTCTTTGTTTCGTTTAAATCAAATATTCTCGTGTATAAAACCCTCTATATATTTTTATTTCCTAAAAATACTATATTCGTATTGTTGTCTGCGAGCGCTTTCACACCAGTAGGCCAACATCTGTGTTGATTTTTTGACCTGAGCCTTCGAGACAATAAATTTAATGTGTGTTCGTAATTCTCTGGTTTTTATTAATAATTAATAAATAATAAATAATTGACTGTATAAAATTCTGTGGGGCTTTTGAGCTCGCCTTACGAGGACACGATGAATCTGAAACATCAGATAACCCTGGAATTTTTCGTGGTTTAGTGAATTTTTCTGCTGAACTTGATAAAACACTTAGTGAACACCTTACAAATGCGACAATTTTCAAAGGTACCTCAAAAACAATACAAAATGATATTTTGGATTGCATGCTAGAAGTATACGCTGAGGAGATTTTAAACGAAATCAATGAAGCCCCATTTTTAGCAGTGATAGCTGATGAGACAACGGATGTTTCTATGAAATTTCAAATGGTCATTGTTTTTCGTTATGTAAAAAACGGTGCTCCAGTTGAAAGGTTTTGGACTTTTTTGCTTCCAGAAAAACATGATGCTGAAACCTTAGCTAACACAATTTTGAATGTTTTAGACCCAATATTAAAGAATAACAAAAATAAGCTCATTGCACAAAGTTATGACGGAGCAGCTGTTATGAGTGGGATACATGGCGGAGTGCAAACAATAATTAAGAGAAAATATGAAACTGCTCATTTTGTGCACTGTTACGCCCATCAATTGAATCTAAAAGGTGCAGTGCCTTTACTAAAATTTATAATTTCTAATAATTTAGAGGACACATTAACAGAAACCAAAAAGTTGATACAAATTCTGGTGACTACGCCAATGACCACAGCAGAAGCTGAACGTAGTTTTTCAACTTTAAAACGGATCAAAACATTTTTAAGAAATTCAATGTGCGAAGACAGATTAACAGCCCTTTCCACACTCTCGATAGAAAAAAAGTTCATCGCTTCAATACCGAACTTTAACGATAAAGTAATCGAAAAGTTTGCGACAAAAAAGGACCGGCGTATTAATTTCCAATTTAGAAAAATGCAATAAATGTAAGTTAATCAGATTTTTATAGCATGTCGTTATTAGTTACTATTAATTAGTATTAAAGCTAATTTTATTGTTTTTGTTTTCGTATGTTATTCTATTTCTATTATTTTATATTGACCGTGGTTCATGCAGCACACCCTATAGCAGATGTCACGAGCCGCCACTGTGAGAATGTATAGTAAAATATGTGTTATATGTCTTTTGTTTTTTATCTTCAAATCGAGTTCTATTTATTGAAAAATAAGAAATAAAACAAAATTTTTTTAATTTATAGTACAAAAATATTTATTTAACTCCTTTATATACTATACTTAAATATCTAATATAACAAAACACATATTTAATAGTAATATGGGAACTTTATAAGACTATACGCAAGACAATTTTTTTACGTAAGTTTTGGGAGTCGTTACATTGCTTGTGTACTAAACTCTATTTGTGTCGTAAGAAATTACTTTTATTATACAAAAAAAAGTATTAATTTTTATCATGGATGTACACTGATAATGTTTAATGTACACTGCTCAGACAATTCCATCGGAGACTATGAAGAGGTCGTACTTTCGCTATATATTTAACAGAAAATATAATTTGAGCTTTAAAACAGGCGTTTGCTCAAAATGTTTAGAGTTACGTGAAAGCATTAAATACAAGAAAAATGAGCAAAGTTCCTCCTCAAAGTTCCTGGATCAAAGTGTATATTATTCAAGGCAGCTTTATTTTTATAACTTTAGTATTGTTGAAGGTTCCTCAAAGTCTCCACTTTTAAAAGAAAATATATTTTCATACTGTTGGACTAAAGACATGTGAAACAAAGCTGTGTTTACGATTGGAAGTCTGCTGTTCAAGAGGTTCATAAACCAGTAGGAGCATGGGGTTTTTCATGGGTTAGGAGCTTCAAGGTATTTGTCTTCAGAGTTAAACGTACAATGTATGTATAATTTATACAAAGAGATCTGCGTTGAAGATAATAGGACCCCAGTCAAGTTATCTTATTACAGATATGTGTTCAATAATCATTTCAATACTAATATCTAATATAACTAATATCTAACTATACTTAAATATCTAATATAACAAAACACATATTTAATAGTAATATGGGAACTTTGTTATTACTATACGAACTTTTACTTTGTTATTTCTATACATTTAATACAGATATATAATGTCTTATAAATTTAGGTACTTCTATGAGCACTCCTTGGCCTGTACAACAATCCACCTGAAAAAAAAATATTCAATCAAAAACTACTAAAGATAAATTGAAAATATTGTAATCTATGTGGCCCTGGAAAAAGTAATACGTATGTCGGGGAGTTCGGTCCTGACAGGTATACTAATTAGTGCGAATTTGTCAGCTCCAAACAAAAACAGTTATTTAGATAGTAGTTATTGATTAACATTTTTTTATTTTATCCATATATGTGCATAAGAGTGGGTTCTCTTTTATCTTGTAAGAACTCTTACAAATTATATAAAACAGAGTCATTTCACAGGAATTTATTGTACTTATCATAAGTCGGCTTGATAAAAAAACTCTAAAACAAGTTTATTCGTTATCCATAACGACATGATAAAGTTGCCTGTTCTAAAACACGTCCGTATTTCAGGTCTAAATTAATTTTAAATTATAAAGAAAAGATGTTAAATCCAACTGACGGGACTGACTACAGAAGCTCCTAAAAGGAAAACAATATTAAAACTTATTCTTCTGCTGTGATTAAACAACAATTCCCTACCAAAGATCAAGCTATTGTATTCCCAGCGATTGAAAACATAACGACATTCTATTTTCCTCACGACTTTCTAACAACAGAGTGTATATGTACCTTGCAAACAAAAACATTGTTGAACATTTTGTGAATAATTATGGAGGGTTTATAGAAATGAATAACCAACAAGTCCAAGCACGCAAACTAGTCACTCCAGCACAAAGACTAATTCTGTCAAACCTTTGTCCCACCATTCCGCATGCTTTACTAACTCAAGAAATTGAAAAATTGGGCCTTAAAACCATGTCTCCCATGTCATTTCTCAAGATAAGTGCCGGTTTGTCGGAATTCAGTCACGTTAAAGGTCAATTCAGACACATCAGTCCCGTCATAGTCTCGGCGCCGAACCGGTCCTGTTTGGTCACAGAACTATCAACTAACTGACAGCTGGGAAACTGTTTGTCAACTGATGAGTGTGAATGCCGGCAACATATTTGTATTAAAGAATATTTTGTATGACGGATTGTTCGGTTCGGCGCAATCACTGTGACGAGACGTGACTGATGTGTCTGAATCGACCTTTAATAGTTTTAGACGACAAGTTTTTATCACACCACCGCTTGCCTCAATACCTGAATCCATATTAATTAATTATGATAACACCAACTATAGGATTTTTGTCACAAGATTCCTGTCAACGATTTAGAAGCTTTAGTGAAAATGCTAACAGCCACATACCCTTATTACAAACAAAGATCCATTAAATCTAAATGTACAAAAATAAGAAAGCAACTACTGATACATTTACAGATGACCTACTCGGATAATGAGACATCAGAAACTGAAAGTGAATTATCTCAGGGATCGATCGAGCCATAAACTTCAGTAACATTCCCAAGTGTCAGTTTTTATTTATTAAACACAGGCTTCTCTTCAATTTTTCAATGGCACAGGTTTTTACAATAACTTTCCGATGCTCCAAATAATTCTGGCTAGATACAATCCAGATATAATTTGTTTTCAAGAAACTAATTTCAAAAATGAAAAAATACAAGCTTTAAAACAATTTAAAAGTTACTGCAAAAATCGAACTAGCCAAGAAAAAGCCAGTGGCGGAGTAGCTATCTTTGTTAAGTCAATTGAAACCACTGTAATTTCTCTCCAAACTAATCTAGAAGCAATTTGCATTAAAGTTAACTGAAGTCCAAATATCTACGTTTGTAACTTATACCTACCTTCATCAAAGCAAATAGACTCAGAATCATTAACTAAACTGTTACAACAAATTCCCCAACCCAGACTTATTTTGGGCGATTTTAATGACCACAATTTTTTATGGGGCTCTTCTACTATAAATACTAGGGGAAGACTGCTAGAATAAATATTTGAACAGTCCAACCTTTCAGTCTTAAACGACTGTAGGCCCACTAGATTTAGTATACCGAACGGTGAATTTTCATGTATAGACCTTACGATATGCGAACTACATCTGACCCTACAGCTCACCTGGGATAGGCTCGACTTCTTATGCAATAGTGATCACTATCCACTTTTTATTCTTAATAACAAAAACCAATGTGGACAGACGTCTACTCCAAAATGGAATTAAAAAAACCCTAACTGGAATCTTTTTTCAAATTTAATCGCAAGTAGTATGACCACATTTGACGACAAAAGTATCTCAAACATACACGAGATACTGAAGACTTTATTACAATTATCACAAAAGTAGCAAAAAAAGCAATAGGAAAGACTACATGCATAAAACAAAGCAACTCTGTCCCATGGTGGAATTACGAATGCAAAACAAGAGATGAATCTAGCAAAAGACGCTACAAAACTGTTGAGAATAAAATTGAATACATAAAACAACGTGCTATAGCCAAAAAGACAATTAGAAATGCCAAACGCCAGTCATGGACTCAATGTATCAACGTTAAGGCTTATCCTCGATAATTGTAACGGTAAAATTCAGAGAGATGTCTATTTCAAAAATATCTTTCTTTACAAAAACAAAATCCATTCACAAAGAATATTCTAAACGTCATCTTGTACTAGAGGTAAGCTTTATACCTACCTTATACAACCCCCTATTGTGTAAAGTCTTGGTCTATACAATAAACGACTGGGCGGCCTTCTATTCAGTGTGGTTTTGAAATAATGTTGAATAAAAACATTCATGAAATTAAAATGAAAGTATTTACGTCTATTAGTAGAAGTGCGATTTATAAAATTAGTACTTGAAGCATAAATCGCGGGAGGAATATGTGCATCAGTTTTCAAATATTTATTATTTACTATATAATTTCTAAATTGAACCACTTTCACTTCTTTAGTTAACAATGTATCTGTTTTGACAACTAAATAGGTAATTAGACAAAATAATTATTAATTTCAAAACAGGAGTTTAAAGAATTAGAAAGAGGTAGCCCGGGCCCAGTTAAATGGTCAAGCTTATTCCAGTGGAAGCAATAAGGAGGATTATTTTTCGTTTTGGCACAGCTGACATGCTCTCTCTAGTACTACATCCATGAAACTGTGGTAAAAAGCATGCTTTATTTATACGGTTGTGAAACACGACGATTAACAGAGACAGATTAATATCGAAGAAAGATATCTCGTCGAACTTAATGCAATAAAGTATGAGAATAGAAGGTACAGTCATGGATGGCATACAACGAAAGCAGCTCAAATGGGTACAGGTCCAATAAATGAAAGACAAGAGACTCCTAAAACAAGTACCTTATGAACACCTACCGTAATCCAGAAGAGAGGATTACCTTAGAAAACACGGATGGAAGGAATAAGAAACTTAATGAGCTCGAAAGAACTGAAAGAACAATGGAACAACCGAATTGAATGAAAAATGAACGTCGGAAGACATTTTATAAGGATTATATCATATTATAGGTACATTTTTTGGACTAAAAATAAATTTGAAGAAAACCAAGTTCATGGTATTTACAAAAGCACAAAGCATCAAAGTTAAGCTAGTACTAGATAATACAGAAATTGAACAAATATCTTTGTACAAATACCTTGGAGCATGGATCACAGAAGATACTGATTAGACAAAAGAAATAAGATGCCGCATTGGAATTGCACGGTCAACTTTTAATAGAACTAGAAAACTTTTTTGTAATCGAGATATTAATATATCGCTCCGGATAAGAATGCTTTGATGTTATATTTTCTTTACCCTTTTATATGGGATTCAAGCTTGGTCACGGATCGCAAAACAACCGAACAAGTTCTCGAACAACTAGGAAAACAATGCGAAGTTTTAAATTCCATAAAAATCAGGAAATTAGAATACTTGGGGCACATCATACATCACACATCAAGACGTAAAATCTAGTGGTTACGTAATCTCCGTGAATGGTTTGGATGCAATTCAACTGAACTATTCAGGCGCATATCCAACAAAATGATAATTGCCAGAATGATCATTGATATGACAAGAATAATATATATAATATATATATATATATATATAATATATATATATATATATAATATATATATATATATATATTTATATAATATATGATATAAACGATATTGAAAGAGGTTACAACATAGAACAATCAACAAAATCTACATCGACAACTACACAGTGAACACCCAACAATAATAGAAGTGTCAAATGCCGTCCTAAAACTCAAAGACAATAAAGCCACAGGAATCGATTAAATCTGTTGGAAAATATATAAAAAAAGGTGATGATCAGCTTTTTGCAGTAACCCATAAACTAATAGTACTTATATGGCAAAATGAATTTGTTCCAGAAGAGTGGCTAAATGAAATAATATACGTTGCATAAAAAGGACGATTAACTGGATTGTAAGAACTATAGAGGTATTACTCTGTTAGCATCTTCACCTGTTAGCACCCTGCTTGGCAGGTCACATATCAGATCAATTTACGGTTGCAAAAGACTTGAGACTGGGAGATCCTTTATCCACTACATTATTCAAATTAGTATTAGAAACTGTAATCAGAAAATGCAGCATGAAGATGGAAGAAACGATCATGAAAATGAGCACCAGTGCTTGGCATTTGCTGATGATCTAACGATCCTAGCAAAAACCGAGTAAGAATTAAGAAGAGTTGTGAAGAAAATCATCTAAGAAGCACAGAAATTTGGATTGGAACTAAATGAAGACAAAACTAAATATATGATCATAGAAGGAACAGAAGGAAAAAAGAAGACTTTAGTATGAGGTCAGTAAGTGGTAAAAGCTATAGTTTTAAAAGGTTGACAAATTTGAATACCTAGGTGTAGTTTTCGATGAAAATGGAAAAGATAAATGGGATATGCCGGTGAGCCTGGACATTAAATAAGAAGGAAGTAGGATACATCTGGAAAGATGGGAAAAGGAAAATATTGAGATGCATATTCAGAAGATGAAAGGCAGAAGATGGTTGGAAAGAAGAACCAACAATGAATTAATGGCTTTATACAAAGAACCTACTATTACCAAGTTCGTCAAGGCACAAAGAATCAGAT